GTTCTCAAAGTGTCACACTTCCGGCTGTTTTTTGTTTGATTTTGTTTAACGGCATATCAACCAGTATGGGTTATTTAATACTAAAATCTAAATATTTTGAACGCAACTCTATGCCTTTAATTACATATGAAATATGTTGTTGGTCATTTTACTTTAAAAATGTATTATTTTTTTATTTTACTATAAATATGTATTGTTGATAATATTCATATATGCTGTATACAGTGACAATTCTAGAACTCTGAAAGAGGGGGACACATGAAGGCCGAGATTTTTCTGTAGAGGAGTGGGGTGGGGCTTAAATTCAAGCAGTGTCTTTATTTTCGTACTACACCCTTATACACAACTTAGGAATAAGTTTTAGTATAAGTAGGTTACTTCACTAAACTAAACGGAATAACTTTTCATTCATAGTAGTGGATTTCTAATCTATTCTTGCCCTCTTTTCCACTCTCAAGCTGTTGAACTACAAGAGTGGTTAACTTCAAAACAATATCAAAGGGTTAATACTAACGTCAATACGAGCAGAACAGTGTAATTTTTCTGCTCTGATTTTCTTCCTCTACAAAACTTAGAAAAGGGGGGGGGCAACCGAAGGGCCAGCCAAAATTCTGGGCGTGGAGCATTGGCCCCATCTGGCCCCTCCGTAGAATCGCCACTGACTGTATATATAAAAGTATTGCTGGTATTTTACTATAAATATGTATTTTTATACTTTCATAATGTTTTGTTTTTTGTTCCGGTTGTAACAAAGACTTTGTTACATAAATTATATGTAGCTGGGGAACCAAGGTTATTTGCCTAGTATTGTTACTTTAAACACATATTTTTTTAATTCAAAGTAACTTCTTACCTTTTCTTTGTCGGGTTAATAGTGGGAGAAAAATATTCACTATGCAATTTTGAAAAGTCAGAAATTTTCATGGTTAATATCAGAAGCATGAATTTAAAAAAAAAAATTTTTTTCATCCCCTAGCCCCTCACGTTTCCGGAAAATCGGAAGGAGTGTTGGGTCTGGCTGTATGGGTGAAGACGACAAATGTACATTTTAAAATAAATGTGACGGTGCCAAGTTACTTCCAAGTAAAATTAATGAATATTCTGAACAATATTTTTTTAAATTCAAATTAAGTCTTACCTTGACTTTGTCGAGTTAATAGTGAGAGAAAAAAATCACTATTCAATTTTGAAGAGTCAGAAAGTTTCGTGGCCGATATCAGAAATTTGAATTTAAAAATAAATATATTCATTTTTTTCTTCCCCTAATATGTGAGCACTGACGAATTTTTAGAGCAAATGAAAACAAAATGACACTTATACATAACACCAGAAAGAGACAGTTGAAATTTCTAGGCTACATAATGAGGAAAGAGGGCTTAGAAAATAGTTACGCTAATAGGATTTATTAAAGGCAAGAGAGACAGAGGAAAGCAGCGTATATCTAAGAAGCTTGTGCAAATGGTTGGCAGAACAGGGATTAGGAGAGACAGCGAAAAAACAATATTTACTTACAGCTACAAAAGCCAGAAAATTGTGGAGAGTCATGATCGCTCACTTACTGAAAGACACGGCACATATAAGAATATTGTTACTATTCCAGATAAGACTGAAAACAACTTGTTTATCAAACCAAACAATATAATATGCACATTTTGAGTTGAATAAAGCCTTGTAATAGAATATTTGTGCTTACATGAAAGGTGTGTCAGGGTATGATCCAGCCATTTAATATTGGCGAAAAAGTAACCTACATAAAGATTGTAGTATCGTATGCAAATTAGATAGACAAAGATAAATAGAGAACAATTGGCGAACATAGGGTGGCTATTCCTAAAAAACCCGGTTGCTATTCAGGACACGGAGAACTGTACTACGACTACTACAACGCAGTGAGATAAGCAAAACATAACAAGGATAATATCTTAGTCCTCTTTAAAGCAATTTGGGCCTCACTTACATATCCAAGCGTCCCTCGCACTTGTCAAAGTAAGTCTGCAATGTCCTGTTTCGGGATTTCCATCAGCTGTCTCTTGATATTTTACTTAATCTCTTCCACAGCATGAAATCTCTATTTAGTGATTTGGGAAAGTCTCAAAGGGCTAAATCTAGGTTGCAATGGTAGATTGACAAACCTGGATGCTAAGAGATTTTAACAAAGAAAACATGAACGATTGGTGGAAAAGCGGATGTCGAGATATTCTAAATTAATATTTTCTATACAGTCTGTGAAATAACGTATATTTTTATTCTAATTCTCGGTTTTTCAATCGGCGATTTGATTGCACTTCGCACCCGTTCAACATTTTCTGGTGTTATACTTATTGAAGCCCATCCAGAACATTCAATAGATCCCATCAAGTCAGTAACAACATTATATCTTGTCTTTGCTCGTTTGATCATCTGTGAAAGGCATTCTTCATCCTTCAAATAGTTCCCACGAACGAATTTCAGTTTCAAGCGGAAACTGATTAATATTCTCCCTGATTTCAAAAGTCGCACAGTACATAAGCTCACCGTGTGTGTCTCAATGCCGACTGAGTAAATACACATGCGAGCTTCTGCTCACTCATGCGCACTGAAATTTTCTCTTACTGGCTGCCATTTATACTGACCCCTCTGATCGCTTGCCATGTTACGTTAAGTTGCATCTGATTGGTTGCCATGTTCCATCAAGTACTCTCTGGTTGGTTGCCAAGTTACATTAAGTTATCTCTGTTTGGTTGCAAAATTACATCAAATCCCCTCTGATTGATTGCCAATGACATCAAGTTTCCTATTATTGGCTACCAAATAACATCAAGTCCACTCTGACGTTTACCCAGTAACATCAAGTCCATCCGATTTGCTGTCAAGTTATATCAAATTCTCTCTGGTTATTTACCAAGTTACATCAAGTTCCTTCTGATTGATTGCCAAATTATATCAAATCCCCTTTGATAGGTTGTCAATTATATCTTCCTCTCTTACTGGTTACCAAATAATATGAAGTACACCCTGACTGGATAAACAGCAACATCAAGTCCCTTTTGATTGGTTGACAAGTTACATTAAGTCCATTCTGATTGGTTGCTAAGTTACATTACTGGCTCTAATAGTAATGACTGCAATCTTTCCGGAAAAATCTCGTAATAATCGATAATAAAGATGAGGGATCAAATAAAATGAAGTAAGAAGAAATTAAATCTAGCAATAAAGATAAGGACAATCTTTAATTTATTGTCAGAAATTAGCATTTGAAATTCTCATTTATGGTTACTCTTTGTATTCATGAACTAGTATGTGCGGGTGGTTAAATCGAGTAGCAAATTTGATATTTGCTTATGAGTTGACGTCATGATTATATCATCTGACATGAAAGAGAACATTTAGAGGAAATACATTTTAAGTAAGAAGTACCAAGCTGCCAACATACAGCTAAAGAAGACCAAAGAACCTATCGGCTGAAACGATGTGATAAAATCAACTATGAAGGTGCTAGTGTGAATAAAACCAGAACAATAAGACGTATTCAGGCACATGGTTTTGCAAGCAAACATTTAAACGATATCTAATAACCACTGGATGTGAAATAGATCTGAAAAATCCTTAAAGATAGGAGGAATGTTTGAATAGACTTGCAACATATACCTGAAGAAGGGAAACATATAAGCCTAGTTAAAACAACGAAGATGAAGGTATTAACCCTAGTATCTGTCTATATTTCTGAGGTATTATGTACACTATTTACATTATTCGGACTATTGTCCTCATCTTTGTTGCCATATTTATCACTAGTGTTATGAAGACCTATGTCCTTTGTGTTACTACTCTGTGCTCAGATGTAGTTCCTTCCTACTCCTAATCGGCGTAGCCTAGGTATCCGGGCTATGTTATCTGGTTAATCTACATATCAATACACCTGGATCATAAGTCATAATTATAAGTCGTTGCCACATCCTGATATTTACGATAGAGAGAAAGGAAACTAAGTATTTATTTTAAAATCCATGATTAAAGCAGAGATTAAACATGCATAAATACATAAAATAAATGGCTGTCTACTAGGGCGGCTAGCCAATCGCTGTTACGACGACGGCTCAAGCACATTTGTGTTTATTCAGCAGCCACACAGAGCCCACCTGTGGTTTATACTGCAACTATGCTTAGTTACAGTTTGTGGGAGAGTCTGAACAAGGCCAGCACGCACAATCTCCTCGGCCACGATGACTTGTTACCTTGTGCTAGAACAGCCATCAACGGCTCCCGAATGGGTTCCATCTACCCAATTTCGCTTACAAGGCTTGGGTTAACCCGTGGTAAGGTTTTAAGGCACTTTCTAAAGGTGCCGCACGCTAGGATCGCCTCCCCGAGACTGATAGCATCAAGAATTCACCTTCCTGACAAATCGACCATGGGGAGATTCGAACCTGGGTCTCATGTTCAGAAAACAAACGTTCCATCAATACATACATACATACAGCTTAATTTAATCGGAAACATGCCAAAATTGGCAAAAATGCAATTCAGGAAGTTATCTGCCTGTTTTGAAATGTGTGATATCTATTTCAGCTCGAATACCAGCCACTGGCACCAGTACAAAATACTCAAGTATCTTAACCACTAAACAGGTCAAATATGTTTGTTTTGTTTTTTACTAAATGTTCATCGTGTACAAGGCTCAAGATTCACTCCAGGTAGAGGGTTATTGAATTAAAGTTGTTGTATGAACATAGGAATGGAGGTAAGAAGTGCAGTTTTCATTGATTGATTCGTTTGTACTGCTTATCCACCATTTGCAGGTTATTTAAAGCCAGAAAATATTTTTGGATTGTAAGTATTTTGGTGGGTGGGAGAGATAATAGTGATACAAGTCTTACTAATTAATCCAGAGCTGGAGATAGAAGAGTCGAATTCATCATACCTTGGCGTGTAAGTGAATATAGCGAACCCAACGGGAATGGAACTCGGCTCTCCGATTAACAATCCAGAGTCATTATCCATTACACTATACACACATGGTGCTTACAATACCTGGTATTCCCAAGCGGACGCCCATCTAGATACTGACCAGGCTTGATGTTGCTTAACTTCGGTGATCGTACGGGAACCGGTGTTTCATCGTATTGTGGCCATAAGCCTTGGGAAGTCGAGATGATGATAGTTATTTACAAACTTTAGATGAGTACAGCACGAACCCAGAAGATTGTGTTATGCTATACAGAGAGGGCCTATCAACCGTGAAAATCAGTGATCTGTGTTCGAATCCAGACAAAAGCAACTGAACAGACTATTCTCTCTCTTTCTCTCTCTCTCTCCCTATATATATATATATATATATATCAGTCTAATTAGTTCTCTTCTTTTATGTGCCATGTTCTTTCATTACGTGGGCGATCATGGCTCTCCACAATTTCGTTCCTATTGCTGTAATTTTTTTATTCAACAAACTCTCTTTTTTCACAATTCTAACATTCATTCCTACAAATGTGTTAAGTTGATTATCCGCTATTTCCTCTCTTTCCTTTACTTTAAATATGTCCTGTGCGTGTTCAGTTCTCCAGGCCTTCTCTTTCTTTATGATTGTAAGCATAATTTTTCGGGTCGTTTTTATTTTACTTAAGTATTCCTTTTTGTTCACATGTTCTTCTCATGGTATTCTTGATATATGTCTATAGAATCATATCACTATCGTTTGAAGACGTTTCTCTATCTGTGAGGTTAGATATTTCATAGAATTTCAGCAGTTTTTTTGGAGGGCGGGGGGTGACATTTTTCTAACGATATTTTTCCGTGTCTTAATACTTTGCTTAGTTTCTGAAAGTCAAATCTTACTATTTCTAATCGTCTCCGTGTTTCCGAATTACATTTCTGCAATGTTACTTCACTGTCTAGATTGTTAAATTTCGGTGCCTGCTTGACATCCTCAATGGTCCTGTATTTTCTTTTCAAATATTTTATGATTATTTTTAACTTAATAATTCTTTCATTCCTCGTCTTTTATTCCTCTACTATATTTTTTATTTTATCTTTTTTCTTATGACTCCTCTCTCTCTCTTCCTTCCTTCTCTCTTTCATATCACTTTCTCTCTCTCACTCTCACTCTCTCTCACTCACTCTCTCTCTTTTCTCTCTCTCTCTCTCTCTCTCTCTCTATATATATATATATATATATATATATATATGAAATGGACAAAGTCTGACAATTATTTTTTAAAACATTTTATTATAAACAGAGCATTTTCTTAAATATTTGTATCCATAAAAAGAACGTATAAACATATAAAATGTCTTAATATGTATATATATATATATATATATATATATATATGGTCCTACTTTTTTTTTCAAATATTTTGTGGTTATTCTTAATAATTCTTTATTATTATTATTATTATTATTATTATTATAGGCTTCATTCCTTGTCTTTTAATCTTCTATCTGTATTTTACTGATTTCTTTTACTTATCATTCCTCTATTCTTTCTCTCTTCCACTCCCCACTCTCTCTCTCTCCATTCTTTCTCCTTTCCGCTTCCCTCTCTCCCTCTCTCTCTATTATTTCCCTCTTTCATTTCCCCCCTCTCTCCCTCTATACTTTTTCTCTTCCGCTTCATCTCCCCCCTCTCTCTCTCTCTCTTTATTTACCTCTTCCATTCCCCCCTCTCCCCTCTATTCTTTTCTCTTCCGCTTCATCTCCCCCACCACCCTCTCTCTCTCTCTCTCTCTCTCTCTCTCTCTCTCTCTCTCTCTGGTCCTATTTTTTTCTTTTCAAATGCGTGGTTATTCTTAACTTAATTCTGTATTATTATTATTATTATTATTATTATTATTATTATTATAGATTTTATTCCTTGTTTTTTAATCTTCGACCTGTATTTTACTAATTTCCTTTTTTTATTATCCCCTCTCTCTCTATTCTTTCCCTCGTCCATTTCCCTCTCTCTCTCTGCCCTCTCTCTGTCTCTCTGTATTCTTTCTCTCTTCCACTTCTCCCCTCTCTCTCTCCCTCTATTCTTTTGCTCTTCCGCTTCCCCCCTCTCTCTTTCCCTCTATTCTTCCTCTCTCCCTCTCTCTCCCTCCCCCTCTCTCTCTCTCTCTCTCTCTCTCTGTCTCTCTCTCTCTCTCTCTCTCTCTCTCCGGCCCTTTTTTTTTCTTTTCAAATGCGTGGTTATTCTTAATTTAATAACTCTTTATTATTATAGATTTTATTATTTATTTTCAAATTAGGGATTCCTTTTACCATTTTCAAGACGCCGACACGCGTCTCGTCTCTCCGCATCCATCTCCAAGCGACGTAGGTTTCACTCTCTGAAGTCTGAGGTGCGGGACAAGGAGGAAGTACAGAAGATGCTGCCGAGTTTTTCACCATCTGGTAATGTGCTGTGGGACCTCCTCTCGCTAACAACTGTCATTAAGTTATTTGGCGGTTCAAAGAAGATCTCCACCAAAAATGATAACGTCTGGCAAACATTCGCCAGTGTCTCCAGGGTCAAATTAGGCATATTGTGTGGTCATCTCCGCTTACGGCAGAACCGCGCAAATGTGCAAATCCGTCGAATATAGTTATTCGCTTCGTTTATTACGGGTAAAGCGGTAAGTATATTTCTTACCTTCGCTTAAAAAAAAAAAAAAGGCACTAGTAAATATCTATGAGACGAAGAAGCTTTGAGCTTCAACGAAATAAATTAACTGCTATTAGTGTGATGCATCATTAGAGTTGATATTTTATTTAAATATTTACTTAATATTTACTACAACGATTAATTACCTTTTCTTGTTTATCACAAGGCTATATATTTACAAATGTGGCGCGTGACTGTGCAAAAGTAATAAAAATTGAAAGAGTTTGGGGCCATACGGCACGGGAGTCACTGTCATGTTCCTCGCTTGAATAAGGAATTAACAGAGATAAAGCAGTTGTGAATAGAAATAAAAAAGAGAAAGAATTGGCAGAGAAAGAGTAATTTTTATCAGTCAACTACCATTAAGGAAAAAGAAACTCATAAGCTGCAACTTCAGCCGTGGACTATCAATATATATATATATATATATATATATATATATATATATATATATATATATATATATATATATATATATATATATATATATATATATATATATATATATATATATATATATATATATATATATATATATATATATATATATATATATATATATATATATATATACATACGTATATATATATATATATATATATATATATATATATATATATATATATATATATATATATATATATATATATATATATATATATATATATATATATATATATATATATATATATATATATATATATATATATATATAAAACATTAGGCAGCATATGATTTACATACAAAGAATAATCACATGGATTAATCAGAAGTATCAATGCGATTATTGATCCATCGCTAGAACCGCGCAATATATATTATGAAAACATGGATGTCGTCAATTGTGATTATATTGTATGTAAATTATGCTGCCTAATGTTTTATGTTTATTAAAAACTATCGATCCGCAGTACATAAAAAATTCCTATAAAAATTACTACTATGACATTACACTATATTATTGAACTATATACTTAGTTCATGACATAAAAAACTAAATACACTTGTAAAAATAGAATACGTGGATTTAACACATCACAAGAAATATTTAAATAAAATTCTCACTTAAAAATTTTGAAAACTTAGCGTTGCGTCTTTGCACGTTCCGATATCTTACAACCGTCAATAATAGCAGATATTCAAAAAACATCTTTCGGTCGACATACAGGTATATCGTCTCAAGTTTTTGATTTTATAAGGAAAAAAAACACATGCCTGATGATGGATGGAAAACTGTCCGTAAGTACTAGCATTTTAACATCAAATAAACTGAAAAACTACAGACAAGTTTTTCTTCAAGGATCAAAACTCGCACTATGGATGAACAGGATTTTAATGCATATATTATGTTTTCTAGCGATGGATGTCGTCAATAATCGCATTGATACTTCTGATTAATTCTATGTGTGATTATTCTTTGTATATATATATATATATATAGGTAACTATACTCTTTTCGAAAAACCTTCGAATTTTTGATTTGCCAATAATCAAATCAATCTCGAAGGAAAAAAGGTTTTAAAAAAAGAAAGAGCCAGGAACATGAAAGTCTGTCGAAAAAATCGCACAGATACAGGTTCAAAGCCCAAAGAAAAAAAAACCCGACACGAGTAAACAACTAACTAAAAAGAGCTCAATACAACCGTAGAACAGACCTAAATAAACCTAATGAGCCAGACAAACCTACACAGGTTTCACCTAAGCGGATCGTCAGGGAAAGATAGATAGATAGATAGATAGATAGATAGATAGATAGATAGATAGATAGATAGATAGATAGATAGATAGATATAACATGAATATGACACCAGCCAGCACTAATATGCCACTTTTCTACATAGTCGCCCTAGAAATCTGTTACAGGTTTCCAAACGGTTAGTAGCAACTAGACATTTTTTTCCACATCGGTTGCAGGAGAAGGTTTAGCAGCGGAAGGACGCTTCGGCCTTATAGGTCAGCCTATTTTAACTTGTATTTTTTTTTTTACTACGGTTTTATTCGGAGTGGGTGGTGATAGATAGATAGATAGATAGATAGATAGATAGATAGATAGATAGATAGATAGATAGATCAGGTTTTTTCTGAAGATTTTCTTAAAGCGTGAAACGTACAGTCAACATGCCGTGTAGGTTTTTATATCCTCGCTGTATATATCTACAAATACACTATCTCATATAGTGACTATTCTTTCCCTATAAATATAGCAAATTTTAAATATGAGTATCGCAGAGATAGGATGCATAACAACACTTTTAACGCACTGGTAATTCACCGTAATACATCGGATCACAATTTTGAGTTAATAAATGCCAGTCTCATCAGGAGAGAAAATGTATTGAGAGTGCGCTAATCTCACAATTCTTGATGATAAACCTAAGACCAGAACCTTACATAATATTGTCAATCATCGCAAAAGCAATAGTAACACAATGCGGTATACGAGCTAATAGAGAAATAAACAGATCTACTAGGAGTGGGCTGGTTTTAAATCCAACAAACACCAACGGATATAATATAAATATATAAAATAAAAATAAAACAAACAAAAAACGAACACTTTCTGGTCTGCGGGCGTCGGATATGATAATATAATTTAATTTATTGCCCCTTTTATCCGAAAACGCATTTTCTTACAGTTTTGTTTTTCGTTCTAACCTGGGGCTGGACACGTCAGTGCGAAACGCGTCGTTATTTCTTTTTCATTTAATCATTTCACCACAAGGACATTTCTTTATTTCAGGAACATATATCTTAATTTACTTAGTTTTAAAGCTTTTACATTTAGTCTCATTATCTCCACTATTATACATCGTAGAAACACACACACACACACACACACACACACACACACACACACATATATATATATATATATATATATATATATATATATATATAATTACCTCATATGGGAAATAGCCTATTTCGGTAAACAAAGATATCAGTCGTCTGTCTTATCAACCACGATGTGAACTGAGTTCGTGTCTATATAGTTTCTAATAGAATTTGTGAAAGCTAAAAAAACAGTCGTAAAACTAATACAGAATATATCCATTTCAATGTTTCAGTCAGACGAAAGGTACAAGGCAGTGGTCAGAGGAGGGTGGAAGGTATTTGCCTTAAAGGAAAGAAGTTTTATAAAATTAAACCCAAATATTAACTTCATTACATTAATTTGGAGTTATATGAAGAATGAAATATTAATTTAAAATTAAAAGAGGAATAAAAAGGGCTTTAAAATAAATTTAAAAGATATAGATAGAAGGATGTAAGGGATTAATGTAAAGAGAGTTAGGGAGATCTTAAAGTAGGGGAAAGTTTATAAATTATAATTAATATAGTGTAAAGAGGTTATAGAGGAGTTAAAAAAAATAACCCTCTTAGTAAGATCAAAAAATAACCCTCTTAGTAAGATCTTCAATAGGAAAAGATTAGCTGCTCTTGAACCAAAAACATGTATAAAATTATTAACTCACACAATAACCATATTTTAAGAAATGTCTATGGGACAAACAACAAACCTAGTATTGAACCCTCAGTAATTGTAAATCTAAAGAAAATTGTCCAAGTAGAGGCTAAATGCAGATCTACCAAGCTTATATATCGAGCGATGATTTCTCCAAAGAAAATGTGAAAAATTATGTTTACACTGGGATTTCCGCGGCGGAATGGAAACAGGGGTTTTATACCCATAGACGTTCATTTTCTAATTCTAAACTAAAACACAATACAGCTCTTTCAAAAACAACTGGGAATTGAAGGATAATGGTTTGAGACCACAGATAGTTTGGAAAATTATAGGTTTTGCACGTACTCTTAAGTCTTAGAAATAGGTGTGACTTACGTTTAGAAAAAAATTAGAATAATAAAATACAATAATCAAACCCAACTATTGAATCAGATGAATGAATTAGTGTTAAAATATCGACAGAAAAACAAATTCAAATTTCCATAAATATAGGTTTAACTTAATCAACTACTATAATTACAAAATAATGATTCCCCTCTAACTCTTCAAAATTCTAATTTCTATATTCCCCGCCTCTATTACCTCTTTACACATTGAGCTCTTTTTGTGGATCAGTTTTAATATTTTATATTACTAGGATGTACTTGGATCATATACCAACGGATTTGTTTCGGATTTAATATATATATATATATATATATATATATATATATATATATATATTGAAAGAATTGATATTTATGTCTATTAATTTTATTCCTCGTTTTTTTTCTAAATTTCGAATCACTTCACGCAAATGTGAAGGTTTTAAATGCAAAAATATCCGAAATTTCTATTAAGCTCATTCTTTCAAATATGATTCATCTTCCAATGTGTAAAAAAAAAAATAAAGAGAAGGAAAGAAAGTTAAATGTATTTTGGTAGCGCATCGTTTTAAAAGTATCGTTATATTTTGTTTGAAAGTTAAATCCAAAACATTAAAATGCATAAAATCATGTCAGTATCGTGTAACGGCAACGTGTAACAGCAGCGTGTTACAACAATCTGTAACAGCAGCATGTAACGGCATCTTGAGCCAGTAACGTGTAATGATGTGAAGTATTTTTTTCATATTTTTTGAAAACTATAGTTATTTGTATTAATGGTCGGTTGCATTTGTTGAATATAAATAACCTCAATAATATTTAGTCTTTTTTCAAATGAATTTAGTTATTTTGACTGTTAGACGGTATATCAATTCCCCATGGGTCATTTAATGCTGAAATATTATTCTCTTGTTAGCTTCGATAATTTTTTTCCAAAAATGTATTGCTGGTATTATTTTTTAATTTTACTACGAAAATGCATTTCTAGTAATTTTTTCTAATGTATTTTTATATTTTCATGTTTTGAACCCAGTTTTGTAGTACACTATTTGCCCATAGCTGGGATCCTAACAGGGAACAACAGCAATTAAGAAGTAGTTCCAATTTCCTCAAAACCTCCCGATTAGAGGTCTTGCTGCTGGATGTAGTTTATCGTCACACACAGAATGATTCCCAATTACATTTAAGAATTAATTTTCTATTGTCAGAGAGCAACTCTCTAATGTTATTATGGTTATTGTAGTGCTTGTTAAGGCGTTGTCTAATTGCACTTTGTTCAGCTATATGGCATGTAAGCCTGCGTGAATGTGTGTGACTGTTGTGTAAAGTACATAAGACATATTTTGTTTATTATTTTCAGAGAGACTATCTCCAATTGGACAAATAAATTTATAAGCAACATAATCTTATGAGGTTAGTAGTTTGCTAAATATTATTTTTGATAATTAGGTTACTGGTTTTAATATTTTGTAATAAATCATAATTCTTAAATATTTTTATCAACATGTTTAATGTTTCAAAGTAATAACTTCTTTTTATTGCAATTTATGCATTGGATTTAACTTTCAAAAAAATATATAATGATGCATTTAAAACAATGCGCTGTTTGAAATACATTTAATTTTTTTTTTTTTTTTTTTTGCCTCTCCTTACTTTTTCACATCCCTGAGGATGATCTATGTGAGTCGAAAGCTACGATCAAATATAACTTTTGGATATTTTTGCATCTAAAATAGACACATTAGCTAAAAATTATTCGTGTTTTAAAAAAAACACTTGATAACTTTAATAAACATAAAATATCAATTCTTCTTGAAATTTGTTGCAATTAACCATGGCTGGCAATATATATATATATATATATATATATATATATATATATATATATATATATATATCTGAGATGAGGTATTATTATTACTTTATATCACTTTATTATTTACATTATTCGTACTGTTATCCTCATCTTCAATGCCATATTCACAATTTTTCGGCCGTTGTACACTCCGGGCTTCTTCAGGTGATTGGAATTTCTAACCGGAAACGAAACTGTCGAGTGTTGTGCTAGCATGAAGTCACAAGGCATCGTGACTGAAGTTATGAGCGTACTGTCTTTGTTAAAACTGCTAATCATACGATGTGCTCTCTCCCAGAAACTCTAACTAAGGTCCGTACAACATAGTTGCAATATAATACACAGGTGGGCTCTGTGGTTGTTGCCATTCTCAGACAGGCGTGATCAGAAAACGGGTATTGTGTAGTAGTGGATTTTTATTACACGTATTTGAGTAGACGCTCCGTTTATTTGCTTTCCGGTGCCTATTTTTCTTTAATTTCTCGAACATTCAAATCGGTAGACGAAAATAAATTAATATACTGCTTAATAAATAGATGGAACGCCTATTCAAATACGTGCATCCACTAAAAATACCATTTAAAATAACGTTTAAAGTGATAATATGTATAAAGTTTAACGTGATAATATCTATATAACGTTTAATGTGATAATATGTATAAAGTTTAATGTGATAATATCTATATAACGTTTTAAGTGATAATATATATAAAGTTTAACGTGATAATATCTATTCAACGTTTAAAATGATAATATATATAATGTTTAAAGTGATAATATCAATATAACGTTTAAAGTGATAATATATATAAAGACGTAAATCGGAATTAAAACACATTTTCAAAATAGAATTACATATTAATTAAAGGATTAAACAGGGATTTAAGTTTAATCAGAGAATACAGTTTCCACAGATGAGAGCCTTCTACAAATCCTTGCCAACCCTAATCAGGGCAAACTACTAAGTCAAAAGCAAATTTCTTACATTAATACAACACATGAAGGAAATAAATAAAATTTCTCCGGAGTATAAGTCCCATTTCATTGTTTATTTCTCATCTCGTTCAGAAGAGACAGAGGTGTATCCGAAAATTCAGACTTTAAAATATTTCTCTTTGCGCTTCGGTTTAGTCAAAATGTCCACTGATATATAATAAATATCATCAGTCTTATTGACAGTATTTTTATCATTTTATTGTCTTTTTATTTGAATTCTATATTGGCTTGTTAAATTCATATATATATATATATACATATATATAAAGACGATATATATATATATATATATATATAAAAAGACATTATATATATATATACATATATATATGTGTGTAAACCCATTAATATATATATATAAATCTTTATATATATATATATATATATATATATATA